TGCGGTTTCCCTGGATGTTGACGCATAAGTGACCAGAGTCTCAACGGGTTGAACACGGGGTGTGCCAGGTCTGGGTTCCCGCAGAACTCTGGGAGACAGGAAAGCCACGCGCACCACTGACCTCGGAAGGGGAAACCTCAGTCAGTTCAGACCTCAGGAGTCTGAGCCAGGGCCGCTGCCTCCGTGCCCGAGCGTTGAGCTGTTAATGTCACCACATAGTAACATTACTGTCTAAAGAATCCAGCCCCATGCCGTCACAGAGCACCGCGACACCTTGCTGTCTACTTCACAGACAGTCTGCTACTCAAATGCTGTAACGCACGCGCACAGCCTCAGCAGAGGGTCGGAGCGTGCGGTGTGGGGCACTCTAGAGGTCCTATTGGTGCTGCTGTAGCAGAGTGCACTGCGTGTCACTGCACTGCACACAGCGGATGCTGCCGGTCAGTGCAGCTCATTGCTCAGCCGTCTCCAACTCTCTGTGACCCCATGGACTGCATCATGCCAGGCTTCCCTGTCCATCACCAAATGCTGTAACGCACGCGCACAGCCTCAGCAGAGGGTCGGAACGTGCGGTGTGGGGCACTCTAGAGGTCCTATTGGTGCTGCTGTAGCAGAGTGCACTGCGTGTTACTGCCCTGCACACAGCGGATGCTGCCAGTCAGTGCAGCTCAGTCGCTCAGCCGCGTCCAACTCTCTGTGATCCCATGGACTGCACCTTGCCAGGCTTCCCTGTCCATCACCAACTCAGGGGCTTCCTCGATAGCTTAGTTGGTAAAGAATCTGCCAGGCAAAGGCGACCCTGGTTCAATTCCTGGGTTGGGAAGATCCCCTGGAGAAGGGAAAGACTACTCACTCCAGTATTCTGGCCTTGAGAATTCCATGGCTTACTATATATTACTAACAATACAATAATAACATAAAAATACTGTCATATAGGATGCCATGGTCACAGGTAATAATTAGCAATGCATATACAAACAGCCAAAGAGTGTTAGAGGAGATATTTATCTTAAATTAACTACATCATAACAACCAAACATTTTTAATATTTTCCTGGATTTTTATAAGTTCCTAAAACCGCTACCCTATAGACATTTTCAGTGATATACATAGTTGCACTGTTTTTATTTCTTATTTTTCAGTTGCTCTGTTTTTAATACATTGTCACTCCCTGCTTGGGCTTCCCTGGTGGCTCAGTGGTAAAGAATCCACCGGCCGTGCAGGAGATGTGGGCTCCATCCCCAAGGAGACCCCCTGGAGAAGGAAATGGCAACCCACTCCAGTATTCTTGCCTGGAGAATCCCATGGACGGAGGAGCCTGGCGGGCTACAGTCCACGGGGTCACAAAGAGTCAGACACGACTGAACAACTAAACAACAGTTCCTTTCTTGAAAAATAAATTAGTGAGAAAATAGTTTTATCCAAAATAAGATTTTTTTTTGTATCTAGTATGGGGTTTTTCTAAAATACTTTTCTTGCATGTGAATGTATAATTTTAAAAGATTGATTTCTAAATTACTGAATTTAGGTAAATTCAATTTTTCTAATGGTTTCTTTACGATAAATGTGAAGTGAAAATTGAGCTCCTGTGTTCAGACTGGGCTCTGTCTACCACAGCACTTGGCCATCTGGGCAAGTGGCCGAAATAAACAACCTCCTCACAGAACTCTCTGATGGGCTCTGTTTTGGATACACGTTCAACTAACTGATTTCCTACTTGATTTCACCTGTTCACAGGTTGCGCCATTTGAAGGTCTTCTCTGAGGGGCACTCTGAGCTCCTCCAATGTGTGGGGGAGGGTCAGTCTAAACCTTCTGTCCCTTCTGCTTGAACCGTGACTAAGACGGAAAACTCTGCAGTGAGCAGCGAGGTGGCAAGGCCAAGCCCTCCCTCCCACCTCCTGGGGCAGTGAGGACTTCGAGAGTTCAGTGATTAAAACACACACGATTCTCTGTATCCACCTCATCATAACAGAGAAAATACCACTTCTGGTAGATCAATACGACAAATGAGTAAACCAGAAGATGGCGTTGAAGGTTTGCAATCACATTTTAAAACAAGGCGAAGTGGTTTTCAACGTCTGAAAGTGCATGAGTGAGGGGAACGGTGAGACAACTAAGTCCGGGCAGAGGACATGTGTGTGAAAGCGCAGAAAGCTCTAGTTGTGGCTGTCTTTGTTCTCAGCAATCCCCCTTCTGCTGCTGGTGAGCACACTGGGGAAAGCAATCCGCTGACTAAAGCTCAAGGCAGCTGGGAGGCAGCCACGTCCACTTTGTTGGCTGAGGTATCCAAGTGCTGAGCTCAGCTCCTGACAGGTAGAGGGGGCCCCCAAAATATCTGTTGAATGAATGAATCCATGAAAGAAGAAAGGAAGGAAAACCACTGTGACCAGAATTTTCTTTGAAAAATACCCTGTTGTTTACTACATAGACTCTGATAGTGGAAAACTTACTTGAGTGAATAAAAACATAGCATCCTGTTAATTTCTGAGAAAGTCGTTGGTTTGAGGAAAAGCTTACCCACTCTGCACCTCGTGGCTGTTTTGCTCTAGGCCGAGCTTGGTTGTTTCTTTGGGTGGGAGACAGTGGCCCAACATTTAAAAGAAAAACTGAGAAATAAGTGAAATCAAAAGCTTTTCAAAAGTTGCGAGTTGACCTAGGGTGGTGGTGGTCTAAAATCATATAGAAACCAGCGATCTGACGGTTTACCTGAAATCGGTAACTACACAAACATGCTGAAGCATTCAAGATGCTGGGGGTGGGGGGGGTGGGGGGGTCGTTAGATCTTGGAACATTAAGTAAAATCCCTCTGTTTAAATATCGCTCTTATTCTGGCCATTTAAACCCCCACTTGTAAATTGTTTCTCCCACGTTGCAGTTAAAACTATGCCACTTAGAGGAGGACTTGGACGCTTTTTCCAGTTCTTTCCTGCGGCCACAACTAAAGCTCTGGGGGTGCTGTCTCAGTCACTGAAGTCCTCCAGTTGTGCCGACCAGCAGGATGCGAGCATTTCAAGCGCAGACAGCGTGTGAGCGCAGTTTATAGCTCAAGGTATCTGGGCCATTTCCTTTTTTCTTTTCAATGAGTGTGATGTTCTCTAAACACGGCGGAGGAGCGGGGCTCCCGGTGACAGTCAAGGGTGCCCCCCACCCACCCACGGTCATTCGACACGGACAGTCCTCTGTCTTTGGTTACGAACTCTGCAAGCCCAGTCCCCTTCGCACCAGATTCCCGCTCCTGCACGCCCCCACTTCCCGCCCTGACAGCGCCCGCGTAGCTGAGCCACTGCTCAGCGGTCCCCGCGCGGAGGCGAGGTCCCCTCGCGCCTTGCCCTCGGCAGGAAACCGCCCGAGTGAGGTTCCCCTGGCCCGTGCGCCCGACTCGAGGTGCGTCCCCAGCGCCGCCCGGCCCCGCACCCCCGGCTCTCCGTCCGCAGCCCGCTACCCCATCCCGCGCACCCAGCTCCCTGCCCAGAGCCCCCTGACCAACCCTGCGCCCCAGCTGGGAGCTGGCGCTCTGCCAGCCCGGGTTCCGACCCGGCCTCGCGCCCCGGGCTCTGCGTCCTCAGCCCCTAGCCCAGCTTCGGCCCCGCGGCCCCGGCTCTCCCTTCGCAGACCCCGCCGCACCCCGCGCGCCCGGCCCTTTGCCCGGAACCCCCAGACCAGCCCCGCGCGCCCAGCTCGACGCCCTCAGCCCCCACCCTGCCAGGAGGCGCCCCGGTTGGCCCCGCCCCGCGTAGGCCCCGCCCCAAGCGCGGCTTTTAAGCTTTATAAAGTTCCTCTTTCCTACCTCGGAGGCTTAGTTTCACTGCTTGGACTTGGGACTCACCGCTGCCCTCAGCTCGAGTCGGGGCGAGGTAAGACTTGGGTCGGGAAGGACCAGGGCTGCGAGGCGGGTACCGCAGAAACCCGTTCGGGGCCCACCTCGGGGCAGCGCAGGGCACCCCAGCGTCGGCACCGGGAGGGAGCCCCGACGCCCACCCCATCTGCTCTTGGCCGGGGAGTCCCGGCCCCAGCGTCCGTGGGTCGGCCGAGCGCGGGCCCTGGGAGGCCACGCGCGGGACCGGGTGTGATAACGAGGTCGCCGGGCCATCAGCGGCCGAGGGGGTCGTCACCCACACCGGGCGGCAGGCTTAACCGCGGGGGACAGACCCTTCCTCCCGAGGCTGTTTCTGTTGCTCCTCGCTCTTGAGGGGCTCAAACTCACCTCAGCCCCCGGCTCGCGGCTTCCCGACCGGTGGTGGAAGAGAAGGCGCTCCAAATTCAGGCCACTAGGGGCCCCGCGCTCCGCGACCCCCGTCTTCCCGGCACCTTCCCGCCCCCGCTCCCCCCGCCGGCCTCCCCGCCCGGCTGATGCTCGGCGCGCGGGGATCCCCCACGACGAGGCTGCGCTCGCCGCCTGAGGCCAGGTCCCTCTGTCGCATGTGGCTCCCGGGCCACCTGGTCGTTGCTACCTGCCTGGGGCTCCGGGGCATTCTTGGGGCAAAGAGTGCGGGTTTCAGAGAGAGCCGCGGGAGAGCTGCCGCCACCGCGCACCTGGAAGGCCAGGCCACAGGGGAGTCCGCGAAACACGCGGGGCCACTGGGGAGTGCGGACTCGGGAGAGGGCGCAGGCGGAAACTGGCCGTGGCAGGAGAAATGGACTGCCCACGGCTCAGGCCTGGGCAGGGTAGCGGGAGTACGAGTGGGCAAACGGAGGGCCACGCGTGGTGGCAGCTGGATTTCGAAGGTGCGCGAAGATCAGAGCCCTGAGTCTGGGCAGCGCGCGGGCCGCGGGGGAAAACGCGAATGGAGCGTTCAGAAGGTGAGGTCGCGGACGGGCTCGGAGAGGCGGCAGGACGGCGCGCCAAGGGCACGCACGAGCCGGGGCGGCTGAGAAGGGCCTTCTCTCGGGTCTTCGGCGTCACAGACTCAGCGGCGCGCGCCTCGCCGCCTCCGAGACTCCGCGGCCTCGTGGTCATTGCCGCAGGACCGCCTCCTCTCTCCGCAGCGCAGAGCGAGTGCTGGAGCGGAGCCTGGGTTGCGAAGGGACAGCATCGGCGCGCGGGGCATGAACCTGGAGGGCGGCAGCCGAGGCGGCGAGTTCGGCATGAGCTCCGTGAGCTGCGGCAACGGGAAGCTCCGCCAGTGGCTCATCGACCAGATCGACAGCGGCAAGTACCCGGGGCTGGTGTGGGAGAACGAGGAGAAGAGCATCTTCCGCATCCCCTGGAAGCACGCGGGCAAGCAGGACTACAACCGCGAGGAGGACGCCGCCCTCTTCAAGGTACCCGGGGCGGGGCTGGGAGGGGCCAGGGCCCTCGGGCCGACCCGACCCGGGTTCCGCGGGCTGGTCCGCGCCGCGCGCGCCGGGCCTCGTGCGGGAGCGCGGGTGGCCCGCAGCTCCTCCGGGCCACTTCGCAGAGGACAGACCCGGTGCCACGCCTGAGCGCGTGGGGCGCACGGTCCCCCGGAGTCAGGTGCCGGTCCGCGCTCCCACCAGGTAGAGGGGTGGGCCAAGGCTGCGCCTCTCTGTCCCTGGCGGCCTCTTTCTGGAACTTTGGATACCTCCTCTCCTCCGCGGATCAGCTGTGTCTCTTCCTTGCGCGCGAGCAGGTGTGTGCGCTGCGCCTCTCAGGTCTGGTCTCTGCGCCCCTCCCCACGTTGTCCCGCCCTCACGCCCCCTCTCTGGACAGCGCTCTCCTTTAGGCCTTCGTTGCGCTCTCTCTTCGTGTCTCTCCCTCTGTCTCACTGTCTCTGTGTGACTCCCTCTTCCCGAGTCTCCCTTCCTCTTTCTCCTGTCTCTCCCTCCCAGGGTCTCCTTCGGGCCTCTCTCTGGGGGTTTCTCTTTGCCCTGTGTGTGTGTGTCCCTGTCCTGACCGTTTTCCCCTTGGGCCATTTACCCAGCGGCCAGTGCTGCAGGGCCCGGCCCCACCACCTGTGGGCAGAGCGTGGATGGGGACTTCCTCAGGGAACTCGCCCAAAGAGAACCTCAGGCTCTCTGACGTCCAGAGGTGCCCTGTGGTGGCCCCTCAGCCCACAGCTCTGTCCTTGCTTCTAGCCTAACTGCTTCATTGGTGGGTGAGCCTTTGTGGGGGTCCTCCAATCTCACCCATCTTCTATAAACACCTGGTGTCTTTCTGTCCCACATTCCTGTGACTTTGAAGCCCCCCCCCCCCACCATTCTTTCCTTTAGAAATACAGTTTCCAGATTCATTTTTGAAAGACCTACATTTTAACTTTTCCCTGCTTCTTTCCCACCAGGCTTGGGCACTGTTTAAAGGGAAGTTTCGAGAAGGCATCGACAAACCAGACCCTCCCACCTGGAAGACACGCCTGCGATGTGCTCTGAACAAGAGCAATGACTTTGAGGAGCTGGTGGAGCGGAGCCAGCTGGACATCTCGGACCCCTACAAAGTGTATCGGATTGTCCCCGAGGGAGCCAAGAAAGGTGGGCTTCCTGGCCTGGGGCTGCCTGCACTCACACCTCACGCTCACTGTCAGAGTCTGGTTTTTTGTTTGCTGCTTTTGTAGCCTGCTTGCCTCGGCCTCCCATTCAAGCCTAGCAGGTGGTTTTCCCAGCTTCTCTGGGTCACAAATTGAAGTTCTCCTGGTGTTAGTGCAGGATTTCTCAGACTCCTGGTCTCTTCCTGTGTATGTGCATATGTGTGTGTTTTCTAGTTAGTTCTCCTAAGATATGGGCCAGATTTCCAAGCCAAAAATGGAAAAGCTGTTTGAAGCTTACTTACTCATCTGTTTCTTGTGATTAGCCATTTTGCAGAAGGGAAGGTTCATGATCTACATATCGTTACCATTTGTAGTAAGAGAAGTGTCAACATTTAAACTTTGCCATGGTCAACTGGGCTGCTTGTTAAAACTAAAGTTCCCACTTTCCAAGATTCTGACCCAGAGCAGAGCCCAGTTTAAACAAACCACAGGTGACCTCACTAGATGGACATCTGCTGGGGGAGCTCATGCCACGAGGCCCATCACCCTCGGGCTTCTCTACTTGTGCTCCCTTTATGGGACCTTGTAGGAACCAGTTTAATGGACTGGACAAATAATTGCCCAAGGGAATTGCAGAAAAATGCCTTATTTGTCAACACTGTGCTATGCATTCTAGGAATTAGACTCTCAGGTATTTTTCTAAGATTTGACATTTCATCCTGTCAGTTCCTTTTTCACACTGTGCGTTTCCCTTTTCCCCAAACCCTCAGGAGCAAAGCAGCTGAACGTGGAGGACCCGCAGCTGCCCATGAGCCACCCGTACGGCATGCCAGCTCCTTACTCCTCGTTGCCTGCTCAGGTATGGGAGGGGCAGGGCTTCGAGCAAGGGAGTCGGGGCCTATGAGAGGCGGTTGGGCCAGATCCCATGTGGCGGGAGAGACCTGCAAACAGAAGCAAGCAGAACTCTGTTTTTGCTGTTTGTCAAACTGCCAAGCCACATCCCAGGTTGCTGGATGAATGTTTCAGTTTCCACCTGGTGTTGCTGGTTTGAAGAGAGGGAGATGAGGGTGGGTGTATCTGCTTGCTGGTTAGATTTCCCCACTGACTCTGAAATCTTCTGGGAAACAGACCTTTTGTGGAAGCCAAAGATTTTGGAAGCAGGGCTTTATCATGTGAAACCACAGGGCAGCTGACCCCGTCGGACTTCTCCGATGTGAATCCCAGCTCTGTTTTATCCACTTTGCTGGAAGGGAGGCAGAGCCCCCAGCAGGGCTCTTGGTTTAACCATATGATGAAGCCTCACATAAAGGTCGCTTGACAGCGCTGTCTCGTTTGTGCTTTGGATTCTTTGTGGCGAGTTTCCACCACGACTTTTCTGATGATAAGAGGATTTGGCTGCCTGCCACACGAGTGGTCCCCGAGGAGTCTGGGGGGGCTCCCCCAGGCTGACCCCTAGCTGGCCGCTCTCCACCCCAGCCCCCCTCTGGTTCCTCCAGCAGGTTCACAACTACATGATCCCGCCCCACGACCGGGGCTGGAGGGAGTTCATCCCCGACCAGCCGCACGCAGAGATCCCATATCAGTGTCCCGTGACCTTCGGACCCCGCGGCCACCACTGGCAAGGCCCAGCCTGTGAAAATGGTAAGGGCAGTGCCTGTGGCCAGAGGGCCTGGCCCCTCCTGGCCTGACCTCCGGGCAGTCCCGTGGCTCTCTGCCTGCTCGGAGCTGCCAGGGAAGGCCCCGCCAGGCTCCAGGAAGCTGCCCTGCTTTTCACAGAATGTAAGCAGTGTGCCCACAGCTGCCCAGTGAGACTGAGAGCTGGAGTCCACCTCCAGGTCTCCTGACCCCAGAGCCCAGCCACACAGGACAGGGAACATCAGAATTCAGACTGGCCGACTTCACGCTTAATAAGCTAACATGTTTCTCTCTCCTTGAATAATCTTAAATTTTATTTTTAACCTTGGGCAAGAAGTAGTTGATTTTGTTAGTGTTCCCAGAGAAGGCTGGACCATCCCTTAATCCTGACTGTCTCTGTCTATACATCTGCAAAGCTGGCATCGCATAGCTGTGGCCTAGCCCCCTGCACCCACCTCAGCCCACAGGGACCCCAGGGGAGTTTTGTGCTGGTAGATTTCTCTTAAGCAGTGGTGTGTCCAGGCAGTCGTTCCTGGGATTAGAGGTGATGGTAAGAAGAGGATATGTAAATACTTTGAAGGAAGCACAGAAGGTCTCCACAGAAGGGGGCCTGGTGGGTGCTGCTCTTGGACTGAATGACGTGGTCCCCGGAGGCCTTCACCAGCCCTCAGAATGAGACCTCTCTCAGAGATCTAGTTTGCTAAGTGCAGAGGTTTCACACAGTGTGTTCAGTGCATCAAAGTACAAGCTGTAAGGACCTGTGAGTTAATTGTTTACATAGAATTCCTGAGACCCGTCAACACCTAGATGTTTTGAATGTTCTAGGAGTATTGGCTCCTTTTTCCAGTCATGTCCAGCTCACTCTTAGCTTATGGAATTGAAGAAGTAGCCTATTATTTAAGATTGGTTTTGAGTGACATATTTTTTTAAAAAAAAATCACAAAATTTGGTTTTATTAGCTTTTTAAGAGTGATTTGCAGCAAAAGTTGGTTTTCCATATTGTGGTGGGAGAGTCAGCTGATGCTGGACAGGTTCCTGCAGTTCAGACCTGGGTCTGGTGCATCAGCTCTGCTGAACTAGTGACCCTGGTGCAAAGGGTAGGCTGGTGGACAGATCTTGACACATAAGTGACATTACGTGATGTGCCAGCCAGCTGAGGTTCTAGCACACACTCTGTGTTAACGTCTCACGCAACACAGCTACTGTACTGGCTGGAGCCATGGTTCCCTTTCCTCCTGAACCCAGGAGCAGTAACTAATGAACCAGGCCTATCAACATGTAGGGTTTTGGTCTGGCTCTTGGAGGTTGGAACTCATGTAGAGACCTGGGCTCAGCTCTGCTGTGAGCTCTCTGTGTGCATGTGGTGAATCACACAGCCTCTGAACTCAGTCACCCTGCCCATCAGCTGTGCAGGGACAGTGCACAGCCGTCCAGTTATGAGACGAGTAGACGCTGGGGCTGAGCCTGGCACGCACAGTGAATGCTGCACTGGGGCCTGGAAAGTGACCAGGACAGCAGGTCTCAAACGTTCTCAGCAGACACACACACACAGGTGACTCTGAGGCGCTGGAGTGTTAATGACAAAAAAGAAGGGAAGGAAGGAAAGGAGAGAGGAAGAAGATTGCAGAGGCGATGCCAGGTTTCCTTCCAGCTGTGAAGAGGCTCGTCCCTCTTCAGCCTTGGCTTTTCAGTAGGACCTCAGACTCCTTGCCTCTCGGGAGGGGGTGTGTGCAGGGCGGGCAGTGTTGCTCCGGAGGGCCCAGGCCCTTCGCTCCCAGCCTGGTGCACCCCTGGGGCTGACGGGCCACCCTCAGACAGAGGCAGCTTCCCTCTGCTTCCGAGGGACTCTGTTAGACGGCATCTGATTTTTATTTGCAAATGCAGGTTGCCAGGTCACAGGAACCTTTTATGCTTGTGCCCCGCCTGAGTCCCAGGCCCCCGGGATCCCCATAGAGCCAAGCATAAGGTCTGCCGAAGCCTTGGCCCTCTCAGGTGAGTGGGGGCCCCCTGGAGGCGGCGTCTGCGAGGGTCTTCTCACCTTGGGTGGATTTGAGGGGCCTGGAGTGGGTAGAAGAGTTAGCACCAGGGGCCGGCTTCCCAGCCTGACCCACTTCTCCAGGTGGATCTGAGCTGTGTCAGCTCTCCAGGAATGTGCAGGTGCCCCAGTTCCGTTTGCCAGGGGCCCCTTCAGCCAGCTTCTCAAACCACGCTTCAGGGGCTCCTCATGGTCCTTGCAGGCTTAGCTGCAAACAGGTGGCCCATCGGCATCCCAGGACGCTAGTTCTGGGTTCTTTCTCCTCATTACATACAGTGCCTCTCAACCAGCATCTTGCTCTTCCTTTGAGCGTGGTGTGTCTCACAAACAAATCCAGATCAGATCTGGTCTTTAGAGTTTCATCTCTAAAAGAGGCCCGGATCTCAGCCGTCTCACCTGTTTTAAGGAAGACACCTTGAGGTGTGCTAAGCGTGTGTGATATCTGCATATTTATCTTTTAGATAGTGTTTTGATTGTTTTAAAATGAGATTTGCATATGTTAAAAATGAATAGTTTATGCTTTGGAATTCTCACCCTGCCCCCTGCCCTCTTTGAAAATCAGCGACAGGAAACATAAGCTGGATTCTCCAGGTTTCAGGAGAGCACAGCTGGGGCCCTTCCTTGCTCTTTCTGGTTCTGAGGTTCTAAAGGAGGCTTCCTGCCTTTCTCAGATGCTCCTGGATGGTGGAGGGAGCAGAGGTGTCTGAGCAGAAAGGCCTGTGTTGTTTTTAGAAACTTTCAAACCCTTTTCTTAAGCAGCTAGGACTTGAGTGTGTGCCTAGAGAGTAGGAAATAAACAGCTATTTATATCCCTGTGACCTCGTGATTTCTGATGACGTTCAATGAAATGAAACCCCGAGTGGCCGACACCCACTCCTCGGGGTTCACGGCGGCAGGAGCGGCAGAGGCGGCTGGAGGCAGTAATGTGGGTTGTCTGAGTCTCAAAACCTACCTTTGAGGAATGAGACGCTTTTGTGGGTTTCTTTGGGTGCGCTCAGTACAGATTACCATCCTGGCCGTTTATCCAAGGTCGGCCACCCGTTCAGGCTTGAACCCCACGCAGTTGCCCATGGTACTTCAAGTCCAGGGCCCTCGGCAAACCAGGTTGGTCCTTTCAGCCCATCGGTCAGATTTTAGAGAAGGTTCTAAAATCAGCAAAACTTCAGAAATGAGCTCATATTGTTTAGTTTTGGAGAAAGCATGACTCTAGAGCCATCCTCAGACTCAAACATAAACCAAGGTGTGTCTCAGCTGACTTTACGCTTGGGCTGTTTCCTTCATGAGGGTAATTTTACAATAAGAGTAGAACACACACAGTGGGAAAAGAAGTTAAAAATCAGTAAAGCAAAAATGTGAAATAAAAACATTATAGTCCCACTCAGAGCTCACCAGTGTTAAGGCTTGTCCTTCCCCAAACTTCAATGTGCTTCTGTATGTATGATATTCTTTTCCTAAATGACATCATACTGATGTTTTTAGTGTAGTTTTGGATGTGTGGACATATTTGCCTTTTTTCTGAAAGACCATTGTACTTTTTTGCTAATAAGAATTATTTAAGGTAGGATTCGGAGAAGGCAATGGCAACCCACTCCAACACTCTCGCCTGGAAAATCCCATGGATGGAGGAGCCTGGAGGGCTGCAGTCCATGAGGTGGCGAAGAGTCGGACACGACTGAGCGACCTCACTTTCACCTTTCACTTTCATGCACTGGAGAAGGAAATGGCAACCCACTCCAGTGTTCTTGCCTGGAGAATCCCAGGGACGGTGGAGCCTGGTGGGCTTCCGTCTATGGGGTCCCACAGTCGGACATGACTAAAGCGACTTAGCAGCAGCAAGGTAGGGTTTACTTCTTCCAAATTCAAAACTGATGGCCATGCTTATAATGAGCTTTTGCTTGGTGGCACATGACTTGGTGTGTTAGACATAAATGCTGTCATCACCACTACTGAGCTCTCCCCTAGATTCCGTGTGTCACACATTTGGAAAAATGCTGGGTTAGAGAGCCTCACAGACTGACGCAGAAGTCCTTCACCATTGGGCAGGCTCAGGCTCAGAGAGGGTCGTAGGCCTTGCAGTGTCTGCCCCCAGACCCCTTGGTACAGGCGTCCCACCAACGATGCTCTTCTAGAGCAATCGCCTGGCCCCTTGCTGAGTACCAGTTCCGGGCTCCTGGCAGTGAGCCTGCACTGACCGCCAGCGCTGTGCTTGCAGACTGCCGGCTCCACATCTGCCTCTACTACCGGGAAGTCCTGGTCAAAGAGCTGACCACATCCAGCCCCGAGGGCTGCCGGATCTCCCACGGCCACACCTTCGATGCCAGCAGCCTGGACCAGGTCCTCTTTCCCTACCCGGAGGACAGCAGCCAGAGGAAGAACATCGAGAAGCTGCTGAGCCACTTGGAGAGGGGCGTGGTGCTCTGGATGGCCCCCGACGGGCTTTATGCCAAGAGACTGTGCCAGAGCAGGATCTACTGGGACGGGCCCCTGGCGCTGTGCAGTGACCGGCCCAACAAACTGGAGAGAGACCAGACCTGCAAGCTGTTTGACACGCAGCAGTTCCTATCAGGTGAGGTGGAAAGGCTCGGCCGGAATGGGGCGCCTGTGCAAGCCGGGCCTGGGAGCGTGAAGCTGGTGATGGTTGGTGTGCCCCCCACAAGGGTCATGGCGGCAGGTTGCTCAGCAGGGCCTCCTTCTGTGCGGCCCTGCGCCCACCAGGCCCGACCCCAGAGTAGGTCTCCTGTTGGTTCACCTGTCACCCCATCTGCGAGAGCCTGTGAAGCACAGGAGATTGTCCCGGACCTGTGGTTCAGGCTGAGGTCTTAAAATTTTAGGATGTACCTACTCCTCGCCAGCCAATAAGGCTCCTGTTTTACTGGCACAAGTGGTCTCAGCAAGCATATCTGCTGATGTTTCAGCTCTTTTACGGTTCCTAGAAAAATTGTAAGGTTAAAGGTATGTTGTTAACGTTTGTGGTTGTGAGATGTGTCACCCTCAGCAGATGTCTCCCAGCAGGTGGGACCCCGGTAAGTGTGCTGAACTGATTTTGCAGAGGGGAAATTATGAGTTGTTTCTAGATTTCAAATCACATTTTCCAGAGTCACCAGGTTTTGTTTTCCTAGTATTGATTTCGTGGCAAGTAAATCAGGCCTGGGCTGGCTTTTACGAGTCCTGCGGCCACCTTGTGGGGGATGTCCGTCCCAGGGTCCGTTTGGCTGTCACCATCACCAGACCTCTTCTGGACAGAGAGCTGGTTCTCCCTCATCCTTAGCTCTTTTTGTATAAGAGCCTCCTTCAGAAACAGCCTGTGTCTGGGCTTTCATGGGCCGCCCCTTCCCCGAAGCTGCTTCTTGATTCAGCTCACCTGGAGCACAAAGCCTGTGCAGCCCACCAGCAGAGACTGCGCTCAGCTCCGGGGTCCGTGGCTCACGTTTGCTGAGGCTGCTCTAGATTCTCTTTCATTGCCCAAGCAAACATGTCCCTGGTGACTCACCCTCCCCCAGAGGCAAACTGGCAGGAGGAGGGAGAGCTAGCCTCTGGTCCCTGGCAGCAGCCCCTGCCTGACCCAGGCCTCACCACCCATGGGGTCATCCGTCCTGGGCCCAGTGTGTGGACCGCCTGCCGCAGAGCTTGAGGAGCCAGGAGCCTGAGGTCCGGGGCCAAGTCCGAAAAAGCCTGGCTCTGGGTCTCCTCAAGGGGACGGGTCTTGGTTTGAGAAGGGTCACTGCAGGTGGGAGGGGCTTCATCCTGGAGAAGGGGCCCTCGCTTCTTGGGGTGTCTCTGGCCCCGCAGCTGTAGGAACGGAGCTCTGCTGGACATGGCTGTCAGCCTCTGGGACTGTGGGCCCCATCATGTGGGATGGTGTGCTTCTTCATGGGGGGCTATGCGCCTCCTCATGTGGGGCTGTGTGTCCGCTCATGGGGGGATGTGCATCCCCTCATGTCCTCACGTGAGGGGGCTGTGCGCCCCCTCATGTCCTCACGGGGGGCTGTGTGTCTCATGTCCTCATGGGGGGCTGTGTGTCCCTCATGTGGGACTGTGTATCCCTTGTGTGGGGCTCTGTGTCCCCTCATGCCCTCATGTGAGGCTGTGTCCCCTCATGTCCTCATGTGAGACTCTGTGTCCCCTCATGTCCTCATGTGGGGCTCTGTGTCCCCTCATGTCCTCATGGGGGGGCTGTGTGTCCCCTCGTGTCCTCATGTGAGGCTGTGTGTCCCCTCATGTCCTCATGGGGGGCTGTGTGTCCCCTCATGTCCTCATGTGAGGCTCTGTGTCCCCTCATGTCCTCATGGGGGGCTGTGTGTCCCCTCATGTCCTCATGTGACGCTGTGTGTCCCCTCATGTCCTCATGTGAGGCTGTGTGTCCCCTCATGTCCTCATGGGGGGCTGTGGGTCCCCTCATGTCCTCATGTGAGGCTGTGTCCCCGTCCCTCATGTTGTGACCGACCAAGAGCTGTTTCAGTTTAGCTCTTTCCCCGTGACCCAGGGCTGTGCTCTGTGCTACTGCAACCTCTTGTCGTGAAGTGTTTTCTGAGGTTCGAGGAGGAAACTAACTAAAAGCTGCAGCTGTGCAGGCGGGCCTCTCCACTCAGGGATTCCCGCGAAACTTCTTGAGCCGCCAGGCCTCTCAGCCAACTGTTTCAGAGAACTGAGCCAGAGCAGAGGCGTGGGTGTCACCCCCGCCCCCTAGCAGTGTGGAAGCCTGGCGCATGTTCTGCTGAAGTCAGTTAGGTTTGATTTGAATTCTGGAAGAAAAAAAAAAAAAGCAGGAAGTCAATGGTCCAGTGAGTTAGCTAGAAACTTTTCTTCGGTTGAAGAGAACAGTGGAAATCTTTGATATCTACCCATTCAGGATCTGCAGCCTCCTGGGGACAGCCCCGCAGCCGGGCGCACATCTGATAAGGCCGCCGCGGCTGTGCACACGCGGCCGCGCCCTTGTGAGCCTCTCCTCTGCTGACTGACATGTGCTCTGGGGGCGGGGCCAGGGTGCTGGTGAACGTGGGCGCGGGGCGGGCCCAGGGCCCCATCCCACCCTCCGTTCTGAGGGAAGCAGCTCAGAGTCACCGGGTCTCCAAGATAACTTCCTGCACTCTGCGGTATCAGAGGTCGTGGGCAACACAGACTGTAGATTAGAGGTCCTGGGTCAAATCAGAAAATTTTGATTTTTTGGAAAAAGATTCTCCTCTGTGTAAATGATTCTTTTGGCCCAACATAGATCCATTTCCTTTTCGTCCTCCCCTACTCCTTTCTGAGACCTTTGCTTCCTTGTGGGTCCAAAGCTGCAAAACGAGCTCCGCCTCTTGGGGTGCAGCCCCCTTGAGGTGAAGGCGGTGCCCCAGGAGAGACCCGTGGGAACACTCATATGCACCCCCGCGTCTGGTCCTGCCCTCACCTATGTCTGGCCTCCACATCCGCGTGGGCTCCCAACCCCTCCCTGCGTCCAGCATGCGGGTCTCTGAACTGTTTCCGTTGGTCTGCAGAGCTGCAGGCATTCGCGCACCACGGCCGGCCGCTGCCGAGGTTCCAGGTGACTCTGTGCTTCGGGGAGGAGTTCCCAGACCCTCAGAGGCAGCGTAAGCTCATCACTGCCCACGTGAGTGTCTGGTCACCTTCGGGTGACTCAGGGCCGGGCCCTACTTAGAGGGGTTCAGGTGGGAAATCAGTGTCCGGGGCTCTGGGCGGAGTGGGAGGGAGGGTGTCCGGGGACGGTGCCTCCCAGCCTGGACACCTGCCCATCACCACCTGGGATGACCTCTGGCCTGCACTGCACCCGACCCATATGTTTTGTTTTCCAAAGAAATAGTCATATTCCCATTTCATAGGGATTTAAAAGGATGGGGCTAAAAGTTGCCCTTTAAAATTCTTGACATTTAATGTTACTTTAAAAATGCCTCTAGCTGATCTTCCCTTAAGGGGAAACTTTCCCCCTGACTTGAGTATTGTGTAAGCCCCCTCCAAAAGTCCCCCATCCTCTTTTATTTCTGGGTTATTAGAATTTATTTAATTGTCGGGAGCTGGGGGCCATCAATGTCTGGTGGAGCAGAGTCTCTATGGCCTTCAGGCAGCTCAGGCCATGGTCACGCTTTCCAGCAGAGTCTAGCATGGGTTCACCTGCACCAGGTAAACATCTTTCACAGAAAAGGAAAGGAGGAAGGTTTAGAGAGATAACATGTAGCATTAAGTCGCCGCAGAAAGCAGAGTTTTGAGTGCTCGGGATTTTCAAATTTGAAATTGAAGCCTCTGAAGGCTGTGATCTGTGAAAGTTATTAACAGGCCCAGGTGACAAATAGCAGCAGGGAAAGTCACACCAAACAATAAGAGAAATCAGGTCAGATCTTTTAAAAAATATTGTAATTAAAATTTTCAAAAAGCTTTTATTTTAGAGTATAGCCGACAACGTTGTGACAGTCTCAGGTGGACGGCAGAGGGACTTGCCGCACACATATATATGCATCCACACAACCCCTGCTTCTTGATTATAAAATCAAAAAACAACTGACCAACCAACAGAAATACAGTCCCCATAAATCTTTAGAGTTTTCTCATGAATTCTGTCACTGACCCGACAGTTACTGATATAATAACAGATTCTTGTTAACAACTGTCCAAGGACTGAGTGACCTCGGCGCAGGCACACAACACCTCGGAAGATGGTGGTGAGCCCTGCGTCTGAGTCTCGGGGCTGGCACACACTGGCCTGGGCCAGCCGGGACCCTGGGTGCACCCAGGAGTCTTGCTTCTCTTATTATGGATTGAATTTGCTTCAGTGACTTCAGATGAGTTATGCCTGAGCCATTATATGTTGACTCTCATAAAGGCTCAGTTGAGGAGCACAGCTGACGGGATGAATGTGCTCCGTTCCTTACTGTGGGTTCAGAAAAAGCTGGGCATTGACTACTCTCTGGTGGATGTGCTCCACCCTCATGCTGAGACTAGAGGGATCTGGGCTCAGTTAACTTCTCTTTTTCCACCATCCCTGTTAAACGGCAGATGTGGAAAAATAAGTCCAATGGCCTAACTTACCGGATTACATTAAACTTTAATGAGACTCAGGTTTGATCCCTGGGTCAAGAAGATCCCCTTGGAGGAGGGCTTGGCAACCCACTCTGGTATTCTTGCCTGGAGAATCCCAAGGACAGAGGAGCCTGGAGGGCTACAGAACATAGGGTTGTGAAGTTGGATGCACCTGACATGACCGAGCATGCACGCACCTTAATTTAGTTTTACCTTAATTTACCTTTAGTTTTACCTTAATTTTTACGTTTACCTTTAATTCGGTCATTTTACCAATGTGCTTGGTTTAGTTCTAGTTTAGTGTAAATGTCAAGTGGCAGCTGGTTTACAAACACCATCATTACCTTTCCTTTCAACTGAAGCGCAGATTCAGTAGATCCTGTTTGTAGATCACTGTGCTCTCCAGAAGGCTCCTCATGTGGCCTGTCTTCACGGTCAGGGCACCTGACTGCACGTGTGACCGCATCCTTAGATGCGGCGGGTTGTTGCCAGATGTCGACGATGCCTTGCTTTGATCTCCCGCTGCAGGTTGAGCCTCTGCTAGCCAGACAGCTGTACTATTTCGCTCAGCAAAACAGCGGACACTTCCTGAGGGGCTATGACCTGCCCGAGCACGTTGGTGGCCCGGAGGACTTCCACAGGCCCCCGCGCCACTCGTCCATCCAGGAGTGAGAGCCCCGGGCCGGAGGCGGCGCATGTGTAAATACGCGCGAGGGGGTGGCTGGCTGAGCCCCTGCTCTTTCTCTGCGAAATGTGGGAACGGGGGCTTCAGTCCCACCCCTGAGGAGAACACTGGTAGAAAATCAACTTGACAGATGAGCTTTTTCCAGAAGAAAGAATGGTTTTCAGGGTCTTCTGTGGACCCCAATGATAATGTGAAAACTCATCATCATGTGGTTTACATTTACTGACTTGCTGTCTCCAGTCTGATGTGGACTCTTTCTTGCATGAAGACTGAGAAACCTGTGCTTCATCGCTGACCGCCAGGATGGCACGAAGGTACCCAAGTGCCAGTCTGTTTCTCAGGGAAGTGGAACCTACGTGTTCTGCCCGGAGGAGGAGTGTGGATGGCGCACCTCGGGACGCTGACAGGAAGACAGACCCGGCTCCGGGGATCCCCACCTTCCCGGGGCCCCTCCCTGGGTGGCCTGCCACCTGCTGTCTGCACCCCCAGGCCCGGAGCCCAGCTGGTGTGACCCTACGGTGCTTCTCGGGCCAAAAGCATCAGGGCCACCCTAAGCGCAGTGTTTTCTCACCTCATACTGACTGGTTAAGATACTTTTTGTTTGTCTTTTTGTCTCTCATGCTATAGAAATTATTGCTGTAGCAGAAAGAGAAAGACTGACGGATCAACAACCCAAGACGTAGTTCTGAAGCTCGGTGCGCGTCTCCCCTCTTGCCCTGTTTGTTAGGAGACCGGCCACCATGGCAACACTAAGAGGAGGAGCGCCCGCCTGCCCGGGGGGAGCCCTGCGCGGGGGCAGGACAGGGCTCTGCAGATTGAGCAACTGCAGGCCAGGGGAGCTGTTTTTGCTTACTTTGTATATTATACGCTTCCTCATGCCAGTGACCATTTGACAGGGCCTAAAAATTATTGGGCTTTTTCCAAACACGGCTTTTTATAGAATCACTAAGATATCTAATTGCTTAAGTGAACCTGACCACTTCTTTGCTGTTCTTTTTGGAAAAGTACAGATGTTTGGCCCATGGGCTAGCAGTTTATTCCTGTCCTACTAGGACAGGAAGTAATTGCCATAACTTAGGCTCAGTGTATGAACGGATGATTCTCTTATTCTACTCTGTGTCTTTAAGTAATTCAACAAACTTGCATTAGACAGATTGTAGCTTTTATCTGGAGAAGGCAATGGCAGCCCACTCCAGTACTCTTGCCTGGAAAATCCAATGGATGGAGGAGCCTGGTGGGCTGCAGTCCATGGGGTCGTGAAGAGTCAGACATGACTGAGTGACTTCACTTTCACTTTTCACTTTTATGCATTGGAGAAGGAAATGGCAACCCACTCCAGTGTTCTTGCCTGGAGAATCCCAGGGATGGGGTCTCACAGAGTTGGACACGACTGAAATGACTTAGCAGCATCAGCTTTTATCCAGCTTAGTAAGCAATGAAGGCTGGAAATGTCATTTCTTCTTTTTTTTTGGAAAACGTTTTTAGGGATAAAATAATACATATTACCCACAGAAGTGTTTGACAGTATAAAAAAGCAAAACCCAAAGAGAATCTTCCTTTTTTTCCAATTCAAATCATCCTCCTTATAGGTGCCCACAAGAAGAATTTGATTCTTACAGCAGATTTTACTTTTCTATAGATAGACACAAACCTAAAAAATCTCACGGGTCCTTCGTGCACCCAGAGGTGCGGATTCACCTGCTCCTGGGGTGCTCCTGCCGAGCCCAACTGGAGGCCCTCAGCGCGGTTTAAGTGGTTCATTACCCATGCGGAGTGAACCCCTTCCGACAGTAGATTGTACTCCGTGGGCTACAGTGACTTATGCATCTTATAGATGTGAGCATCTGGGGTACATTACCCCCAGGGGGCAGGAGACTGCGGGCCACGGCATGGCTATGCCTCCTGTGGCCGGCACCCCGCCCTCCAAGCAGACGCGCGACTCCCTCGTCTCCTTTTCCAACACGAAGCTGCTCTGACTCGAGCTCCGTGTCTGGCAGATGCTGTTGACCGGGGCCACTCCCGTCCACGTGCACAGTGCACATGAGCGGCAGCTTTCTGTGGTCTGGGGGACCCACAGCGTGGGGCGGTAGGTGGAAAACCATGAAGCAGGCCCGGTGAGGGACCCCGATGTGGGCTTAGCAAACAGTCTAGTGTGTTAGTGGAGGATGCTGTGAAGTTTAGGCCCTTGTTATCTGGAAGAGTTTTAGGTCCGCGGGGAAGGTCTCGGGGGCGCCCCTGGCTTGTTTCTTGTTCCTGAGGTTTGGTCACACTGTGGGCAGACCAGCATCTTCTGGAGCACCACAGAGAGCTCCTTCACACCATGGCTTCGGAAGCTCCTCAGTCACCACGCGGAGACCCAGCCAGGTGGTCGGTTTGCAATGGAGAAACTGCTCCATGTGGCCCAACAAGCCTACAACCATGGGGACCTCCTGAGTCCATCAGTGCCCTGCATGAGCAGAGAGGCATCCACGGGCTCAGCTGTGAACAAGGCTTTCGTCCCAGGTCACTGCAAACAAGCCCGGGTGCAGGTCTGACATGGGCTGTGTCCTCAGGCTGGTGATGGGGTTGTGTCCCCAGGGAAGGTTGCACCAGTGAAGGTCTTTTATTTCTGTGAATCATTTTATTAGCAAAAATCCAGACACAGTGTAAGCCCTTCCATTCTCCTGCAGTCACATCACCCCGCTTTCTCCACAGGCGAATCTCCTCGGGAGGTGCTAAGCTTCCTTAAGCTCAGCATCTTTGTTACCTGTCTCCCTAAACAGCTGTAGCTCATGTGGGCTGTCCTGCCGTGTGCATCGTCTTGCAACTCGCCTCTTGGGCCCTGACTCGGAGCTGGACACATGTCAGTGTGCGGGGGGTGGTCTCCTCTAGCCCTGTTTACTGTTGTGGAAGACTGTGAGGGCCGATTCCCGGTTTCTCTTTTCACGACTTTTAGGAAGGCAAGTGTGTGGAGCACAGCTGAAGTTACAGGAGAGACAGGCCAGCCTCTTCCAGGGCAAACTCTCTGTTAACCTTTTGGGGAGGGGGCTTTGCAGGTGCAGAGGGTCTCCCACCGCCCAACCTCACTCCTGGGACTGTTCCAGGCTGAACAGTCCTTGGACAATTGTACATAATCTTATGAATTTTGCTGCAAATTGCTTTTCAAAGCAGATTTATATTTGTGACATTTTAGAATGTTAATAAAGATTTTTTTTAAGCAGTCTTTTATGGGCTGTGTGTGTTATTAAACCCTCATCTTGATAGCTTTTTAAATACTTCCTCCTTCTGTTGCATTTGGCAGCCTGTTTCCTTCCTGGTTGCTGTGAGCCTCCCAAAAATCAGATCTCACATGTTCAGCTCATTTAAAAAAAAAACACACACACCCTGCCGCTCGCGTCCCAGTGTTGAGCAGCTCCCCACCCCGCTCCCTACCACCATGAGGGTCTCGGCGCTGAGGACCTGTGTCGACGCTTCCTTCTGTTCCGTTGCTGTTGCTAAAGGGAAGGGGGTGTCAGTTCACCAGCAGCCAGACCATGGAAAGTTACCAGTCAGGTGCGGGGGGCACAGATGAGACAACCCCACCCCAGGGTCTGCGCCCCTGCCCCCGGTCTTCAGCCCCCGGCTCATGCCCCCGCTTGTGCTGTTAAAACCCTTGCAGCTGAAGACTGTGTGATGCTCTCAGAAGTCCGTGTCCTTTGCATATAGGATACACTAGAATGCTAGATCTGAACAATTTCAGATTTGCTAAATGGTAACCAAATCAAAATAATGGGGAAATAATCTATGACACTGCTCTGGGGGCTCTGTCTGCTCAGAAAGTGTGGGTGGACTTAGTCTCACAGCAAGTTTTATTCAAACAATCTGTCCTCGCCTTACATCTGAAAGAGGCTTTCAAGGGACTCCGTGCGCTCGAGCTTGGTCTCAGGCGGCTCTCCCTGGCTGTCCGGTACCTCAGCGTAAGCCTTTCTCCACCCACAGGGCAGGTTTGGCTGTCCTGGGTTCACTTGCCTCGACAAGCGCTCCCGTTTGCTGGGAGGATCACCGTCTCCCACGTCATCTCTCTGCAAAGAAGCTCCAGCGGTTGAGTGAGGTCATCTTTTTCCAGGAGGTGCTGTCCCTGAGCTGACTCGGGCAACTGGGCCAGTGTCTTCTGAATTAGTTATGAGTCCTGGGCTGTTACAGGCACCTGGAGAGCCAGGAACTCTTCCGTGACCTCCGTCCGCCAGGGGACAGCGTGTGGCCCAAGGCTGTCCGGGGAGACTTGCTGGAGGGTGGGGACCCTGGCGCTGTCAGCGGGCGTCTGATCCAATACATTATAAAGTTCATTTTATCTCAGTCCCTGAGCGAATGGTCAGAAGTTTGGAATCTGTGGACATTGTATGATCTTTGAAAGCTCTTGCTTCGCTTCTTTGGAAATTCCCGTTCTCCTTCCCGCCCACCCCCACCTGCCCCTGCCTTCCCATCAGCTGGGCATGACGGCGGCTGCACGGAGAATCGTCCCAGCAGATAAGGCATCTTTGTCTCCCCTGACCTCTCCTCCGGGTCATGCTCCCACAGCGGCCCGACACCTCCTCTTCGGGAAAGCCTCTCCTGACTGCCCAGCCACACCTCCCCCCAGGGCCCAGCTCTGACTGTGGCCCTTCTGGAGGCGTTTCTTGCCCCACTGTGTACATCCCCCACACCCCACCTGGCTCACTCCCGGGCAGAAAGACAACACTGGTCCTTGGTGGGAAAAGGGAGGGCTCAAGAAGGCTGGGAGTTTAAGAAAGATCAGCCCCCCCCTTCAGCCCTCTGGACTCACCTGGACCAGAGAAAGATGCTCAGAGCCGAGGAAAGTGGCCACCTGAGAAGAAACGCGTGCCCAGGCGTCAGTGTCTTCCGGGTGAAGGCCAGCTGTCCTCCTGGAAAGAAACACCACGGAGTAAACCTGAGAGGAGGGTGCGGGAGGAGCATCCGTGTGGGTTTGGGGGCCCAGGGCGGGATGGGAGAGCGCCATGCTGGGGTGGGCGGAGCCGTGGGTGCTGGCTGTCTGAGCGAGGCCACGCCGAGGGCCAGCACCAAAGTTAGTGCCAGCTCGAGTGAAGGGGTGCCATCTGAAGGGAACCGAGATCAAGCTCCCTTGCTGGAGTAAGAGCTAAAATGAAAATTGCACTCCTAAATGAAACACAACATATTTCTTTGAAACATCAGCCACAACTTAGATTTGCACCTGCTGTGAAGCCTTTGTGTGGATCACAATAAAATGTGGAAAATTCTGAAAGAAATGGCAATATCAGACCACCTGACTTGCCTCTTGAGAAACCTGCATGCAGGTCAGGAAGCAACAGTTAGAACTGGACATGGAACAACAGACTGGTTCCAAATAGGAAAAGGAGTATGTCAAGGCTGTATATTGTCACTCTGCTTATTTAACTTATACACAGGGTACATCATGAGAAACGCTGGGCTGGAAGAAGCACAAGCTGGAATCAAGATTGCCGGGAGAAATATCAATAACCTCAGATATGCAGATGACACCACCCTTATGGCAGAAAGTGAAGAGGAACTAAAAAGCCTCTTGATGAAAGTGAAAGAGGAGAGTGAAAAAGTTGGCTTAAAGCTCAACATTCAGAAAACTAAGATCATGGCATCTGGCCCCATCACTTCATGGGAAATAGATGGGGAGACAGTGGAAACAGTGGCTGACTTTATTTTTCTGGGCTCCAAAATCACTGCAGATGGTGATTGCAACCATGAAATTAAAAGACACTCCTTGGAAGGAAAGTTATGACCAACCTGGATAGAATATTTAAAAGCAGAAACATTACTTTGCCAACAAAGGTCCGTCTAGTCAAGGCTATGGTTTTTCCAGTGGTCTTGCATGGATGTGAGAGTTGGATGGTGAAGAAAGCTGAGGGCTGAAGAATTGATGCTTCTGAACTGTGGTGTTGGAGAAGACTCTTGAGAGTCCCTTGGACTGCAAGGAGATCCAACCAGTCCATCCTAAAGGAGATTAGTCCTGGGTGTTCATTGGAAGGACTGATGTTGAAGCTGAAACTCCAAAACTTTGGCCACCTGATTCGAAGAGTTGCTTAACTGGAAAAGACTCTCATGCTGGGAAAGATTGAAGGTGGGAGGAGAAGGGGACGACAGAGGATGAGATGGTTGGATGGCATCACCAACTCAATGGACATGAGTCTGAGTTAAACTCCAGGAGTTGGGGATGGACAGGGAGGACTGGTGTGCTGTGGTTCATGAGGTTGCAGAGTTGGACACGACTGAGCGACTGAACTGAACTGAACTGTGTGCAGCATGACCCTGGTCACGCTACATTCTGTGTTGTAGTCACTGTTCATCAAGTTTCTTTCATTAAATTTCTTTTTTTTTTTTTTAGATAAGGTTCTTGAAGGCAGGGCTGAGCCTCACCGCGTACCTGGTGCGTGCGGGGCCGGCCCCCGAGACTCAGAAGGCAGCGTCCAGCGTGAGGATGGAGCGAAGGCCGCTGCAGCACGTGTGGTGGAGAAACGCTCGTCGGGTCACGTGGCGGCCCCGTCTCCCAGGGCACGGGGCACGGGCACAGGGCCCTTCTGAGGGGAGCAGGAGGCTGTGGGCTCAGCCCTCCCTCCAGGGTCCCCGCCCCCTCCGTGGACCTGTGTCTTAATGCTGTTTCCCCTGGGAGACTGTCCTCTCAAAACTATCTCTTCGGCAGGGAAGCTCTATACTGTGCTGAGCTCTACTCTGGCCCTTCTGTCTGAGATGACCCCTCTCTGCATCACCCCCACCCTCCCCGGGGACCTCCCCCCTCCCCCATCACCCCACCCTCCTTGGGGACCTCCTTCCATCACCCCTCCCCCACCCTCTTTGCTCCTGCAGGGTCACTCTCCCTCTGGTTCTACTATTTACCTTGTGTGAATGGCAAGGTAAGGTTGCTTAAAAACAGGAAGGAAAAGAACATTGATGTAGATTTTTAACTGCGGTACAACACGGAAGTAAAATGTGTGCTTTGTAAGGCAAGCTCGGCGGCACTAAGGCCATTCACCTGACGCTGCGCAGCCATCACCCTCGTCACCCCCAGTGCTTCATCTCTCAGGCTGAACTGGTCCCGAGAATACTCACTCCCCTACCCCTCCCTTGGGCCCAGGAAACCACCATCCACTTTCAGTCTATGAATCAGAGGCTTCTAGGGGCCTCATGTAAGTAAAATTATTCAGGACTTGTCCTTTGTGACTGGTTGATTTCATGAACATAATGTCCTCAAGGTCCATCCATGTTGTAGCTTGTGTTGGGACTTCCTTTTTAAGGCTGGTTGATGTTCCTTCAGGGGAAGGACCATCATGCTCACCCATCATCCTTGCACAGATGGGCATCTGGGTTGCCTTCGCCTTTGGCCTGTAGTGAATGATACTGCTGTCAATATGGGGTACAATACCTATTGGAGACCCTTCTTCAAATTCTCTGGGGCATATGTGGAATTATCAGGCTATCTGGTAATTCACTTTTAATTTTTGAGGACCCTTCATTTCATATCATTTTCCACAGAGCTGCACTGGTTCACACTCCCACCACCAGTGCACAAGTGCTCCAGTTTCTCCACATCCTCACCAACACTGGTTGGAACGTTAAAAAAAAATTCTATTTACTACGAAGCACTTCCTGAAGACCCACTGTGTTCCTGGGCTCTGCTTCATCCAGGAATGTGCAGCCTCCGAGAGTGGTGTCCGTGGTGGAGCTGGGCCCCACATGGGCGGTCTCTCCCTGGCCAGGGGCAGGATGGCCTTCAGGAAGGGAGGTGAAGAAACAGGCTCAGAAATCCTAAAGTTACTGTCGGGCTGGCCAAAAAGTTCCCTGGGGTCTATGATAAATATCCTTATTCAATTCGTTATTGTCATTTAAAATGTGACTTTTCAAAATACATTTAAAAGTACTTAAAATAAAAAAACCTTTATGTTGACTCACTTTTCAAGCTTAAATGTCTGCTTTAGCGTCACTGTAAGTAATGACAATTTGTAAATACACAAAGTGAGTGTGATTGTTTTATTTCCATTTCCCAGTATCCACTGAGACAGCAATGACTTAGAGACACCCTCCCCTGAAGCATCTGAAACGAGCCTCCCAGGGAAACACCAAGTCTTCAGCTTCCCAGGAACATGGCGTGGTCTTTAGGTGTCAGTGTTTGTCAAGCCAATGAATTATTTAATCAGTTAAATTAATTAAATAAGTTAATTAAAAAGAATTAACATCTTCATTGACTATTGGCTTCAGGGAAATATCAATATGTTTCATCTCTAACCCGGTACCTTTCATTGGCGATGAATCTCCTATTAATGAAAATGCTGTAATACATCTCAGTTTCTTTTTCTGAAAAAGCTTCAAGGGTTCAGTTTGTAGAAATGGGACTCGGCGGCTCCTAACGAAGACTGCACTCCCAAGGACCACGCACCCTGCACCCACGGGCGGCCGGGCCCGGGGGTCCCCAGCACTCGGGTGTGACAGGCCTGGAGGCTGGGGCCTCCCTGACTCCTGCCTCCCCCCTTCCTGCATCCTGTGGGTTCTCCACGCTGGCTCCTCGCTGTAGATGGGGACTCACCAGGGACTTCTCCCAGCAAGAGGACCAAGAAGGGCAGCCACAGGGTGCTCCAGCCCAGCAGCCGGGCTGGGGTGGCCTCCGGGACTCACTCTGTGACCCTGGTCTCCCTGGGACCCTGCTGCCTGGGACCCCACTTCGAGGGCTGCTTTCCTCCTGGGGACCAAGCTGCAGCAGCAAAGTCAAGGTCCACGGACGCTCACGGCCCCAGTCGTCCCAGGCAGCGCCACACTTCGGGGGAAACCCAGCTCAGGTTTAGATGAAAGTGTCCTTTCTCCTTCTGAAGAAGGTGCGGGGTGTGGGCAAAGGGCCGGACGTGGGCCCTTCTCGTCACCCCTGTCCGTGACTGCCTCGGACCTCGGGGCTCTGCGCTTCTTCCAGCTGGAGCCAGGACTCCGCCACCCTGGGGACCAAAGATTCTGCCAAGGGTGCTTCCCCACTTGAGGGTCTAGGAGGGGTGGGGGGAGGGCAGGGGTCTGCACCCTTCCACTAACCCCGATGTCTTCTTGGGAAAGGGCCCTCAGGAGCCCCCCTGGAAAGACAGCAAGACATCCGTTTCACACGGCCGTTTAGACTAACAAGACCTGTGGGGCAGAGAACGTAGCGGGCGCGTGGGGCCTGGTCCAGGAGCCTGCGGACGCGGCGGGCCAGGGGGCAAGGCTGGGGCAACAAACGTGGTCTCCCAGGGCGGCGAGGCCAGTGCGTCTTTGAGGGACCCCAGCGTCTTCCCCTGGCCGGGCGTCGGGGGGCGCTGGACCTGCGGGGCTCCGTGCAGCCCCGCTCCCGGACCCCACTCCCAGACCCCAGTCCCCGGCCCCCCGGGCGCCCCCAGTCCCGCCGCCGAGCGAGAAGCGCCTGTCTGTTCCTGGAAGCCCAGCAAAAGCCCCCGCAGCCGATGAATAACTGCTCCGCGATTAGAAAGCACCGACCGGCAGCAGCCAAACCTCAGGCGGGGAAATACGGACCTTCCACTGACCCCCACCCCCGTGGCTCTAGGTCCCTGGGGGCCACGAGAGGGAAGAGCCCCCTGCCCCCATCTGAGGGGTCCGCACCCCCTCAGTGGGGGTCCCGCAGGGTGTCCACCGTCCCCCTCCCCCTCTCCTGGGATCAGGGACCTAGGCTTTCTCAGGCCACCAGGCCTCCCGGGACTTCTGTGGGGCTGCAAGGCCCGTGGGGAGGGCCTGAGGGACCGGGGTGCTGGCCAGAGAGGGAGGTCTGAGGCAGGAAAGCGGGGCAGCTGGACAGGCCCCTGGAGCTGGGCCGCCGGCTGGGCAGTGCGGGACACAGGGAGCCAGGCCCAGGAAGGCGCCCGCTGAACCTGAACCGGAACCGGAAACTCCGGCTGCCCTCCCAGGTGTGACTCCGCGTGTCTCCCGGGGTCCCCGCCGCCTCCTTGCAGGGGGAAACTGACTGCCGCGAGAGGTTTCCTGTGAGTCAGAAGCCGGAGTGCCCTCTGCCCAGACAGCCCGGCTCTGCTGGTGCCGCCCTGAGGGCCAGGAGGAGGAGGTGGAGGCCACGCGTGGCTGAGCGCGAGCGGGCATCACTGGTCCAGCCTCCACCTCCTCCCATCTCGGGGCTGGCTAGGTCTGCTGACTCCAGGGTCATTAAACAGAGCCATTATTGAAAATTAAATATCATAAATTATAGTAAAAGAAAAATAGCAAATTCTCATTATTTGCAAGTTACCTGGCTACCGTTTACCGCCATCTCTGCTCTGGAATTTACGGGTCGTGTGTGCTGTGGTACACGGCGCAGCCCCGAGTCACTTTCTGCGTCTGTGAGCACAGATGGAGGTGGGGTGTTCGCCCCACAGCCCCTGGCCCTGGGGGCACCCCCTCCAGCCCGGCTCAGAGAGAGGAAGGTGGAAGACAGGAACAGCCGTGGTGTCTCCTGAGGGCCCAGGAGGGGGCAGGTTGAGCGGGGGTGCTCCAGGCCACAGACGCTTCTGCATGCCCAACAGTGGCCGCCCCACCCTGGGCATTGCCGGCCTCCCTCCAGGGCCTTCTCCTGGCTGCAGAAATGCACCACGAGTCTCTCCCAGGGTAGGCTCTCCAGCCCCCCAGGTGTTTCCTGGAGCCCCTCCCCAGGCACAGAAGAGACACCCCCGGACTGTCACCCCAACTGTACGAAGCAGGAGAGGGTGTGCCCCGGGCAGGGTGACCGAGGGCCAGCGGTGGGCTCTGCCCAGAGTGTGTGCCGCCTTCTCTCCTCGACAGCGTCTGCTTGCCCCTGGCCCCTGGCCGCCTCACCACCTGGCGCCCACAGAGAGGAGGCGAGCTCTGGAGAGAAGGGGGGCAGCTGTGGGTGGACACTGAGCCTCGTCCATCGGGGGCGGGCCGTGCTCCGGGGGGTTCCCCTGGTGGCTGGGGGGAGGCCTAACCCGGAGGGCGAGTGTGGACCAGGGCACCGGCCACCTGGCTTCCGCCCTTGCAGTGTGGACCACGCCTGGGTGACCTGTCTGGTCTCCCCCCGCTTCCTGCTCCTGAGACGCTGACGCTCAAGGCCAGCTCTCCAGGTGCAGACAGAGCCCCTCGAGACGAGGAGGGGCTACTGCAGTCCTGTTTGTAGAGGCCGAGCTTTTCCCAAGTGTCTGAACTAACGTGCAGAGTCCTGTGCAGACAGAGGGGTCCGTTTCAGAGGGTGTGCATCTGGGGTCACAGAGGGTGTAATTTGTTTTCTAGTTTGTTCCAGTGATGCTATTCTAATATGGACACCTTAAGTTCAGCGGCCCACCCACACTACCGATATGTCATTATTAGTAATCCCAATTTCTTGCTTAATTTCCATGCAAGATAGGGCTTGCCTGTAAAATGCATTGACAGAGGCACATTCTATATTTAGTGAAAGAGATGTTATCTCCAGATTACAGGGAAGTGATTACATCAAGGTCCTCTGTTGATGAAATAAATAAACCACAAGAAAGAAATAAACTGTATGAGTCGCTGAGAACCAAAGCGAGCTGGCTTTCTTGTATCTAAAGGTCCCTTTGCCCACAAGTGTCGTCCAAGTGAATGGGCCACGTGCCCTCTGTGGTTCAGGGAACAGCGGCTAACAATCCTCTAGGTCCAGAGGAAGCCTCGACCGCAAGCCACTAGGGCCATGGGCCATGTTAGGGGCAGAGAGGAGCAGGTGTTGTTTGCTTTTAGCATAAGACCCGAAGTGGACATCCTTCCACTTTTCTGGACATGGAGACGGCGTTGCAGGGCGAGGAGGCCGTGGAGACTCGCGAGCTTGGGTTCCACTTCCGAAGGGTCAGCTAGACAGCCTCGTGACCTCCTCAGGCTCAATGCTCCCCGGTACAGAGCAAGGCGTGGGGGCCCTTACGGGATGACCTCCCCGGTGTTCTGAGAAGGGTGTCGCTTCCTCAGATGATCAATCGCTTCAAGTTGTTAAAAACATGTTATCAGAAACCTCCTGTATGTTTTTTCTCTGATAGTTAGTGATTTCAAGCATCTTTCTATGTGTTTTTGGCCACCTGTATGTCTTCTTGGGAGAAATGTCTATTTAGATCTGCTCATGTTTCGATTGGGCTGTTTGTGTTTTTGACACAGAGCTATGTGAGCTGTTTGTATGTTTTGGAGATGAATCTGTTGTCCGCTTTGTTTGCAGATACTTTCCCCCATTCTGAGGGTTTTCTTTTCCTTTTGTTTGCTTTGGCACATCCAGACGAGCTTGGGTACGGCAGAGGATAAGGAGACAATATTTAATAATGTCAGAGGTAGGAAGTGGGAAGCAGGTGAATGGAGTGACTTGCCCAGGTCTGCGGCCGCTGTTAGGGCGAGCTGAGGCTCAGCTGACGGGCTCTGGCCTGTGTCCAAGGGTGGAGGCTCACACCACAAGGGCATGTGAGCACGAGACCTCGTGCCTCTCCGGGGCGACACTAGGAAATGCCTCCTCTCCATTCTGAGTGTCGCCCCCCACCCTCAAGCAGCCTTGAACCATGCTTTGCCTGCGGGGCTTGCATACAGCTGCCTCCTGATGGTCGGGCCTCCTCCCGCCCGCCCTCTGCTCAGATGTGCGTGGACACACTCTGGGCCCCAGAGAGCTGATGGGCAGTGGGGGCTGAGGACAGCGAGGAGTGGGGATGACAGGGCCGGGGCTCGCCTGTCACCAGGCTCTCGTGGCCCTTTCCCGGCCCTTGGCCTTTCTCTCTGGCTGCACAGAGTGCAGAAGGCCGGGATTCAGGGAATCAGCAGCAACCCCAGTCAGGCACCTGGAGCACAGAGGAGTCCAGGTCTGCGGGCCCTCCTCTCCTGGCCAGCACCCCGCAGGCTCCCTGAGCCCCTGGTGGGCCGTGCTGTGTGGATGCGGGTCCCCTGGGTGCAGGCGTCCTCTGTCCACCACGTCCTGGGGCTGTGGGCTGCGTCTGACTGGACCCGTGTCCTCAGGGACAGAGGTGTGGTTCCAGCGTCTCTGACTCTGAAGACGTACATGCAGGAAGAAAGCAGACAGGGTGACGGCCTGGCCTCCTGTCCCGGCTCTGCCTCTCCCGGGAAGGGGGAAACTCCAGAGGGGAAAGGTGAGCAACCTCAAATAAGTTCTTTGCACAGCGCCTCTGACCACACACACTCAGAATAGATATTTCATAACTGACATGAGAACTACCTTAATGACAGAACCGGCCAAGTGACACTAAAAGGGGTGCGTTCCGCTCCCCCCTGGCCTGGGCAGGAGCACCCAGGGACCCTCTGTGTGCTGTGTGTCTGTTCTCTACGCCAGGGCGGGGGCTTGCCTGGGGGGGATGCAGCTAGGAGGAGCCACAGCCAGAACGAGTGGTCAGAGCAGTGACTCATCTCGCTCTGCAGGAGCGATCAACGTTCGCTTTCAGAGGAAAACGCCCAGGTCAAATGCAGTTCTTCAGTTATTGGAAACACTGTGTGGTTCCCCATCCTTGGCCTGAGTCACTGGCACGAGCCAAGTGTGCGAAGAGAGCTGCCCGCTCACTGGCCTCACTTGTTTTTGATTAAGATGAACTTTGTGTTAGAAACGGAAAATAGCAGGTCTTTCTGAGATTCTAGGGCCATGTCTGGCTCAGGACCTGCAGAGGCAGGAGTTCTGACCCAGAGTCTCCCGCGCGGAGGTCTGCCAGCCGCAGATGAGCCCCCACGACCGGCCTCAGGGCCTGCGGGCTGGCCTGGGCACCCGGGCTCAAGACGCTGAGATAGCCCCACGTGTGAGCCGAACACTGCGCCGCCTGGACCCTGAGTAATACTTGGCTGCCTCCCCAAATCAATCTCATAGACGACTGCTGTGAATTCTCAGAAGAACCTGCAACACTGTGCCCTGGAAAGACTCCCAGAGCGGGGACGTCGGCTCTGACCCCAGGGCTTTATACACAGAACGCCAGACCGACTGTCCTGACCGCTCTGACGTGACGGCTCGGTGACCAAACACACATCCACCCTGCAGTGTGGCCATCACCACACAGCGCTCTCCTCTGAAACTCAGAGGGATGGCCTGCCCCACCCCAGCCCCGGGCCCCCACCCTCCCGTTCTCCAGCTGCCTGGATCTGACTCCTCCAGGGACCTCCTGTGAGCAGAACCACACGGTGTTTGTCTCATGGCGACTGGTTTACTTCAATGGGCATCGTGTTCTCAGAGTC